CGATCTACCCGATATGGGTACTTTCACAAAATGAAATACTTTTGTCTTTGAAGCTTTGTATGTTATTTGTTTAGAAATTATATTTATCAATTAATTATATATTTTATATAATAAATAAAGAGAGACACTAAAAGTAAAAGATGAGAAAAATATTGGATAAGACAAATAATATGGTGAAGATAATATTAAAAAATATATATCGAATATTATAACCAAATTTTTTATCTCAATGGTTGTAAATTTTGTCTTGACATAAGAGAATTGACATAGTTCTCTTAGGTTTTATTTTTGTCCTATGAAAATAATGTTTGATGAGTATAAATTAATCACGTCTTACGAGTATATATTAATATTTAATTATTAATTTTGAAATATTGTGTGAATCATTTCTTATAAAAATTAATATGAATGTTATAAAATAATATAATCTTTATTCTTACTAGTAGGATTGAGGCACTTTATGCTTTTATTAAAAATAAAAAAAATAAAAATTAAGTAATGAAAATATGTTGGTCTAATTGATATTATAATTAGTCTATTAATTTTGAGTTCTTAAATTTGATTAAAAAATGTTATTTTTAAAAAAAATTAAAATTAAAGGGTATAATGTCAACCAAATATGGAAACCAAGGTAGTTACTAAAAGGGTATGCCCTTTATATATTAGTATAGATTTATAATATCCAATTTAAAGTAATTATTTATTTTTTTATATAAGATCAAATTCATAATATTTGATATGTTAATTATTTCAAAATTAAAGTGATCTTAATTAAAATATGTTCTCTTAATTTGATGGAATCTATAATTATAGACACTTTAAAATATATGTATTATAATTGGTTAAAAAAGTTAACAATATTAATTATGAAAAAAAAATAGTGCAAAAATATTTTCAAAAATAAAAATTTATTTTTTTTAGTTTTCTTAATATTAATATTAGTGAATTAGTAATTTGGTTATACGGAGGTAGAAAGAAAAGGAATTATATACAATTACTAACTAAAGGGGGTGTATTAGATTAGGATTTTAAAAGACTTTTTTAGTTGAAAAAAGTCTTGTGGATTTTAAAAGATTTTGTAGAATTTTCATGACTTTTAAGATTTTGTAGGATTTTGCAAGACTTTCAATTAAGATTTTAATGAATTTTGCAAGACTTTTAAGTTAAGATTTTAATGGATTTTGTGAGACTTTGTGAACTTTGCAAAATTTCGTAGATTTAAAATATTTTGTTTATAAATTTATAAATGATTAAAAAAACAGTTGGACAACTACCCTACTCTCTTATAACTAAATATGTCCCTTCATTTTATATTAGTATTTGAGTAAAAATTTGTCTTTTATACACTTTTATTCATTTAAAATATCTTAGAAATTTATAAACATCAATTAGGAGAAAAAAATCTAAAATTTGTTACAAGTACAAAATGAATTTTTTTAATTTTTTAATTGCTTTCAATATTTGTGGTTGAAGTCTCAGAGCTGCAGCTCTCATTCACGGCTGTAGCGGATTTAGCAGAAAAACTTGGAAAAAAATTTCTGATAAGAGGGCTCAAGCCCCAGGTTCCAAGGCTCAAGCTTTCACTCTCTGTCTCACGTCCAGGGGTCCAGAGCTGCAGCCGGAGAAAAAAATCTAAAATTTGTTACAAGTACAAAATGAATTTTTTTAATTTTTTAATTGCTTTCAATTATTCACTCGTGAAAAAATATTTTTAGTATTGAATTTTAAGATACTGCAATATCTTATGTTAATTTTCTTTTTTAAAATATAAAAAATCCTAATTTCACAATATAAAAATAAAAAAAAATATAATTCATAATATAAAAAGAAGAAATAAAATAATCGTTGAGTCATAAAAGGGGGAGGATAGGAGTAACAAATTCAAGAGAGGGAGAAAGGTCGCAGTTTTTGTACTTTGAGGATTCTTTCCCCAGTTAAGATTCATTCTTATATCATTCTACTCACAGAAAGATCGGAATAACGATTGCTTAATTTTACCAGTTTTGAATTCCGTCTCCGGGTGGCTCTTTCGACAGATGGGGACCTGAGTTTGATATCTAGAGTGAGGAATATAAATGGCAAGCCATTTAGTTTCTCATTCGCACATCACACATACTTATTGGTTTCTGACATTAGGTCTGGATAATTCTTTCTTATACTTGTCCTTCATTCCCTTTCCTAAGCCCGTGGGATGATGCCCAACCTCATTTTTTTCTTTTACATTGTAAATTGACTTCTGGAACACTTAATTGAAGTTTTTTTTTTAGCAGTAATGATGTTTCGTTCTTCAGGATTTATTGGAGACAAATACTTGGTTTATTGTTCTGAAATGTATTTTCTGCATATATTATAAGGATAATTTTTTATAATTGAGCTATCCTTCTTTTGTTTGTTTTAGAACAAGTAATCAGTACTCATATTAACAATGTTGTGTAGTGAGATAAGGATTGAAGGTCTGGAAACACATAGACAACCTTTTTCAAAAAGAACGATTTACAGAACAAGGAGATGCGATAACATTTGAATCTGAGGTAATATTCATGTTTACAACAGATAGATATTATTTATAGTTCCATGATGCAATTTAAGCTTTTGCTTGAGATTGTGGTAACTATAGCACATTATATCTAGCCTAGGCCTATGCCTATGCAGTTTTGTCAATCACATATCAAATTCACTGTAGTCTTTAGGTTTTGACATGATGAAGACTATGAACAAAGAGGTTTTGAAAATTCATCATTCCTTGGTGGCAGGTGGATGGAGTTTATCTTGGCTCTCCAAACATAATTGCAGTGCTAGATCATGAGAGGAAAAGGACATTTGTTATTAGGAAGGAAGGTCTCCCTGATGTTGGTAAGTAGAAGTTGTTCAGAAACATATGACAAAAGGAGAACTAAGGAGATTTAGCTCAATTGATAAGTGGTGTGTGTGAGTTGTTGTAATCAATCCCTTGGTATACTGATAAAAAAAATCACGACAAAAGGTGGTTTGCAATATATGTCTAGTTCCTGCAATCAGCAGCACTATATATATGTGATAGAAAATTGAATTGCAGTCCTTTTGATGTGTTCAGCTGTGTGGAATCCATGGGAGAAGAAATCAAAGGCGATGGTGGACTTTGGTGATGAGGAGTATAAACAGATGCTTTGTGTTGATGGGGCGGTAATTGAGAAACCGGTGAGCTTGAAGCCGGGAGAGGAATGGACGGGGCGGCTGCAGCTATCGGTTGTGCCATCGAGTTTTTGCAGTGACCGGCTGGGTCTTGACAGAAGTGGTCTTTGAGGAATTGTACAAAATCGGTCTCAGATTATGCTATGCTACATCCACTGTAGCATTAAGTTGTAGAAATAGTGTTCTTTAGGTTTTCTGTGGCTAGAAATAGTGCTTTAGAGAGGCCTATGTTTTTGTGAGAATGGCTATCAAATGTTAGTTGGTTCATTTCTGCTATGGATTCTCCTTCTTTTGAAGCCTTAGATTTTGTGTTTTGTAGATGCCAAGTTGCTTTTTCGCATGAATTTTATGATGTTCCACGGCATGGATAACTTTTACTTTCATGTTCCAATTTGCCAATATTCTTTGAAAGGCTAATTTGGAACATGATGATCGACGTTTCATGAGAGACATTGAAACGAGTGGTTAATGAACATTAATGTGAGCAATGCATGTATTATAAAGGTGAATTTTAGGTATTTTTCACATAATTATTTAGAGATTAATTTGATATTATCACCGTGTAAAATCTTACACTATTAATTAATTACAAAAGTTAAATAATTATATCATACGTGAGATCTACAATTGAATGATATCGAGGATTTTTCTTATATTGTCGATGATATCTAATTAATTTCTTATATTTGTTCAATAAAGTGTTTTGAAAAGAAGTACGTAAAAGAAACATTAGCATTCTCGTGCTTTGCAATTGTTGACAGAGGCGGGACCACGTGGGATAGGCATCAAACGGTTAAAGTTGGGAAGAGATGACTGATGCCATCTTCATATTTCATTTCATCTACATTCTTGTAATTATTATTTTTAATTATTCACTAGTGGTTTATTTTAACTAGTTAAAATTATGTATTCATTCATATTCTTATTATATCATTATCTATCCATATTTCCTAAACCAAACTTATTACGTAAATTCTTTGTTTTATATATATAATACTTGGTTATGATATTTTTCATTAAGTATTATTCTTAAAAAAAAATAACCATCATCAATAAAAAGCTTATTCTTCAAAATTGATTGAAAAAAGTTTTGGAATTAATTATTAATAGCCATTTTTAGCAATCAACATTTACAATTTAGGTTATAATGTTGACTTAATGAACCTACAATTGATCCAAAAACAAATCAAGAAAACATTTTGAAAATTTTTCCAAATATATATATTTTTTATATTTAAATCATTGTTATATAAAAATCGAAGTCGATAATTGTTAGGGATAGAAAAATTCAGGAGATTATTTGGTACGCTAATGAGTTTAACTACCGTATTAAATCAAGACTCAACTACAACACAACTATTAAACAACAGAGCTTTCTTTATCGAATTTTGGCGTACCCGTTTCTCCAAAATTCAAGGCAACTTATGAAATTAAAAATTAACGTTCTTTAGCAACGACCATACTCAACGAACCCGCTAAAAGATTTTGGTTCTAACTTTAGATAATTAATTCTCCATTTGTTAGAGTGCCAGATTCAGATCCCTAGTTCCACTCCACATGCCTTCTACTTTTGGGGGACTTTCGTTAAAAAACGAACATTAACTCAAAATAATTCATAAATTTGCTACTTCAGTCGACAAGGCAAGTTGGAAGAATTAGCTTTTTTCTTCTTCTTCTTTTTTTTTTTTTTTTTTAGTTTCTCTTCTCATTAAAAAGAGAAGCTAGATCAAACATATTTGCTAAAAAAAAGGATTCTTAAAAAGTTTTAGTACCTTAAACTTTCAATAAAATAAAAAGAAAAAAGTAGCTTTAAAAAGAAATTGGCTGAAGAAGTTTTTGAGAAAAGTTACGTTCTATTGTAATCCTTGTCTTAAGTCATCCTTTTATATTATGAAGTTTTCAAAAAAACTTCTAAGAAAGAAAAGTAATATATATATATATATATATATATATATATAAAAAAATTAAAATTAATTAATTTGTAAAAAAAATCATTTACTTATCTAAAATCTTATTTTTAACTACGTATAAATTAATTTTAATTTATATATAAGTTAGTTTCAGTTATCTTTTTAATTTTTCTTTTAAAAAAATTATCTAAACATATCGTATCTTTCAAAATAAATAAATAAACAAATAAATGTCTGGCTACCTATAAACTTGATTGCCCAATTGAAGAAAGGCCGTGGTGGTTTAATCTATGGAAGATCCATTAAAACTAAGTAGTTAATTAGTTATATAATCCTCTCCCTCATCTGGCATCCACTCGTTTCGTTTGTGGTAATCGATTAGATTCTTAAACGTGCACCTACCAATTAAATCAATCTAATCAACACCTAAAACTCCTCAAGTTTTCCACCACAAAACCAAATACTCATTCCATTAAGAAGGAAAAAACGTGGACACAACTCAGATGTTTAATTTTCTGTTTCAAAATCGCAATAAGAGGAACATGTATCCGATTCCACCATCATTGGATGTTAGTTTGTAGTATAGAGTTGGTGGTGGCAATGGTGAGTTTTGACGACAACGTGAACCCGTAAAAAAGCCACACATAACAACAACTCATTAAAAAGACACACCACACTTTTTTTTAACATTATTTTCAAGGATATTTTTTTTATTAAATGAAATTCATTTATCCCCCTCAATATATAGGTGAATTATATTTATAGATTTGTGATATTTATATTAAATATTTAAACCTATATAGATATTGTACTTTACATCAAATATTTTATTGATATTTTATTATTTATTTCTATTTTCTTATCACATTATATGATTCATCATGTTTATATTTTTTTCCTTTAATTTTTCTCTCGATCTTTATTAGGTGTTTAATTTTTTCATGTAAATTAAAATAAAAAAAAAGTACATGTATGTGAAATTATCTAATAATAATTTATGCCAATTATAGGGTGTAGCTATAATTGATTCCCGTTAATCTATTTGAATAGAAGTTATTTTTTTTGGAGAAAAGAAAAAGAAAAAAGGACTTACATGGGAAGATCGCAACCGTGAGGCTGCCAGCGCCACCGTTGATACTCCTTCTCCGGGCGACCGTGCTCTTGACACGTTAACTGTGGTTGTATGTAGGGACACTCCGCTTCCTCGTACAACGGCCGAGTCAACTCGTCGCGTACCCACCTTCCGTTGAACACGTCACATCCCTCTTCTTCCTCTCTTTTCGTTTCTCTCTTGTACATGTTTCCCTCTGATGATAATAACAAATTAATTAACAAAAAACAAAAAAGAAAGAAAGAAAGAAAGAAAGGAGCTTGACTCGGTGAGTGAACTCACCGGGTGAGGAGAAGAGTGTTTGTGTTTCATGGTTGGAGTGTGGACGAAAGATGAAGGAGAAGTCATGGCCATAGAAGATGGAAGCGAAGAGAATGAAAGCTAAGAGAGTGAAGAGGTAAGATGGTGGCTTCATCATTTTTGCTATTTCATGCATGGACCCCAATTTTACTTGTTCGTCTTGCTTACGTTCTCATTTAAAATTATAAACGACTTCAACCTATCTTTTTGGAGTTTCTTATTATGTATTTAATATTTCCCTCACAATCTTTAATTTATTATTATTCAACCATCATGATTCATGGACGTTAGAATATTTCTACTTAAGTAGTATTTTTAGTATCAATATAAAATATTTAATTACGTTAAATACTACCTTGCTAATTTACTTCCTATAAAAATTCATGTAATCTCAAAAAATATATATATGTACTATCGAGCCACGCTTCATTCGTTCATTCTGCATGTGGGTATTGTCAAAATCAAATCACATACATCTGGTCAATTATTATACAGTTAAATTATGTATAGATGTACCCTAATTAACCGATAAGATTGAGGAAGAAGAAAAAAAAAATGGAAATAACTGAATAAAATGATGAAAATGATATCTTTCTTTGCAATGTTGTTATTATTAAGAAGTATTCATACATTTCCAAGGTTAAAATGTTCGACGGTGAGTGGTGTGGGAAGTTGAAATGTTTGCTTGGCTTCACAAGAAAGCGAGTGAGGAAGATTGCGAATAATAATGATGAGTTTACCATATTGCATGAAATAAACAAATAGGTTTCATCAACAAATATATGTGGCCATGTGACGGATCTCCTTTGTGTTGTAATTTTGAACGGCGGACGCAAGCTGAATGTACCTGATGCCTGAAAATACTGAACAACCACGTTAGTAAAATCTCCTGAGGCGTGTGATAGCACTGACCTTAAGGACTTATTCGCACAAGAATGAATTATCAAATTATCTTGAATTAATATAAAATTTCGTATATATGAACTAAAAGTAAACAACTTTCAATCTAACGGTTGAATTTATAAAATTCACATTTGATATAAAGTTATTGAGCAGTGTAATACTTAGTAAAAGTTACACCGGTATTATTATAACCCTTCTCTTTTAAAATCTTATCTAATTATATCATAATATTTTCATATCAAATTTAAAACCAAATATTAGTATGTTATTTTTTATCATCATTAATTTATAAAAATAAAAAATTTAAAATGACAATTTTTAATAATATTTATTTTTTACCAAATATTATCTACAGAAAAAATTTCGTAGGTAATATTTTGTAGATAACTAATTCCATAGATAATATTTCATAGATAACTAATTTCATAGGTAATATTTCGTAGATAACTAATTCCATAGGTAATATTTCGTAGATAACTAAACATTATCTACGGAAAAAATTTCGTAGGTAATATTCCGTAGATAACTTATTCCATAGGTAATATTTCGTAGATAACTAATTCCGTAAGTAATATTTCGTAGATAACTAATTTCGTAGGTAATATTCCGTAGATAACTAAACATTATCTATGGAAAAAATTTCATAGGTAATATTCCGTAGATAACTAAACATTATCTATGGAAAAAATTTCGTAGGTAATATTTTGTAGATAACTAAAAATAATCTACAGAAAAAATTTCGTACGTAATATTCCGTAGATAACTAAACATTATCTATGGAAAAAATTTCGTAAGTAATATTCCATAGATAATAACAATTTTTCTTGTAGTGACATTTAATGGTTACAAAAAAGGGAATAAGGTGGATCAATATTTTGTTTCCATCATATCAGGAATGTTGACTTTGTTAATGATGGCCCCTGGTAGTTGCATGTGGTTTTTTGAAGATATTTTTTCACTTCGAGCAATGTCGTAAAATTATTGATATTTCAAGACTGTTTGATCTCAGTTCTTGGCCAATCTTTTGATCTTCAACTTCGATTTTACATGCCTTTGATGCATTCTTATGTTTAAAGGGTCTCTTGTTGGAAATGTTTGGTGCTTGCATATTGCAATCAAGGTATTTGATGTAGTATCTTTTAGACTATTGTGTTATTCACAAGGTTTTTGAGGTTACTTTCTATGAAGATATTTTTTATTTTTTATGTTTTTCATTTCTTTTCTTAATGTAAGCTTATGTGCATGGTGGTTAAGCATTATAGTGAGCTTCTACCAATGTTAAGCATTAATATGTTGTGTATTAATGAAACATTGTTTTAACTTCTACTCTTGATAGTTAAGATTTGTTGTTTCTACCTTATGGTGATTAAGCATTTATCATTGTTGTTTATCTTGTTAGGTGGTTAAAGTCTTTTGCTTTTGTTAGGTGGTTAAGCATTGTATATGGCTTTTGCTTAATGGTTAAGCTTGTGCTTGTTGGCCTTTGACCATTTTTAGTTTTTGTATATCTTTTAGTTGATGTATTTTCGGCATCTTTCATTGTACTCATTTTTTTAATTACTTGTATTGTTGATCTCAAGCTAGACATGTTGTGTGAACACATACCAAATTGTGGGGGGCTATTAGAGATGTAATTGTATAGGAGTATTAATTAATAGAGAGTTTGTTAAGTTAAAAGACAATCTTGAATTTCTCAAATTTTAATAATAACAACTAAAAGATTTCCTTTTTAAGCAAAGTTAAATATATACAAAGATATATTATATCAAGTGAAATGTAGAAAATATATATCATCTATAATATGAAGAAAATCAAATGAAACATACAACCTGTCTTTGTGCATTAAACATATAATTTCAAATGAGACTAACATTAATTTTCATTAAATGTTTTATTCCTTAATAGATTGAACAAGAAAGAAGCTTTAGAACTATCAAAATCTATTAAAGAAGGAGAAGACAAAATATCTGTCAGAAACAAAAAGCAAAATCCCAAATATCATGGAAAAGGCTTTGCAAAAGACTACTCTATGCTGACTTCAACTACTTTATGTTGACATAACTTTTACAATGCTCATTTTAGAAAAAAATGATGATAAGTAGCTTGTTAGATCAGATAAGAGATACATGTTTTGCTAAAAGAAATTTAATGCTCGCATTAAATGCATCAACGGTAATCTCTATGATCAACAAAGAACACAAATGAAACAACTCGTGAAGCAAATTGTGAGTTCAACTCAAAATTGCCGCAATAGTCATCTTCTCTGAAACTACTATAAAAAGATTAAGCCTTCAAACAACAAACAAGTGCATGACGTTATAAAACAAAAGCGATAACAATGATACACATTGAGAAATTTGTATAGAGTAACATACAAAAATATAGAGAGTAGAAAAACTACAAAGAATCGTTTATTGTAAATCTTGTACATATTTCTTTGTAGATTAATTGTGCTTTCTTTGTTTATTACATCATGTCTAGAAGAGACGAAACATATCTATAATCATCAATTACCTTTGTTAGTCTTGAGCCTGGAGAGGCTTGTTTGAAAGAATATTTAGTGTTGAGCCTAGAAAGGCTTGGATGAAAGAATACTTGTTGCTAAGCCTGGAGAGGCTTGTTGTTCAAAGAATACTTAGGTAGTTACTTGAAGAGGCAAGTCAAAGAGTATTTAGGTTTGAGTCAGAAGTGGTTTAGTAAAAGAATACTTGTAACTTTGTGAAAGTTAATGGAACTCAATTTGGTTTGATTGAGAACTAGATGTAGTCTTAGTGGTTGAAACAAACCAGTATAAAAATATTTGGTGCTTCATCTAACTCTTCTCCAATGTTTCATCTGATATGTTATTTTATCTTCATTGCACAAATGTGTGTGTTTTTGATACACATTATTCAACCCCCTTCTAGTGTGTGTCTTTTTTGGGCTTGAAGTAATCCTTTTGTAGTTAACTTTTTCATTCTCAATACTTTATATTTTCAACTTATTTTATTTTATTTTTCTTTTCTTTTCTCTTCTATGAACCATGAATTCTAACAATGTGTAAGAGTGTAAGTACACCTACATGAAGGGATGACAACGGAGCAAAGGAGGTACGAGTTTCATTATCCCCATCTTGTCTTTGGGCCTGTATCATATATTCATCCATGTCCCTATACTCGACAAGTATGAAATTTGTGTCCCAATCTCTGTGTCCATCGAGTATCGGATATACTCATATCTATCTCATATACACCTAGAAATTAATTAAATATTAAAAAAAAAAAGAAATTTCATCATAGAGTAGTAATTACAAAATTACATTAATTAAGTTTCATATAACATAAATTTAAAATAAAGTAAAAGTAACATATATGTCAAATAAATTTTAAAAAAATAAATTAAATTTCTAGAAATTTAAAATAGATTTGGGTACAAGTACAAGTATGGGATAGGTAAGTATATATTCATCCCTGTCCTTATACTTGATTTAATAAATCAAATATTACCCATACTCATATATATACTAGTATTCAATTAAATCGGGTATTCCTCATCAAAATCAAAACAAGTTTAGATATTAACCACGAGTACTAATTTACTTGTGATCCTTACTTACATGTTTTAGTTCTTAAATTTTGTTAATTTAACTAAAATAATTCCAATTTAATTGAAGTCTAATTTTATTTTATATTGTTGAAATCTTCAGCCATCTATGTTTGCAACAGTTAAATTTGATCACAATCTCTCTCCCCTGTTAAACGAATACTATCATCTAAATCTAAAATTAAAGATATTGAATATGAAGATTTGAAATAAGAAATAATTTCACAAGTTAGGAAAATTTTAAATTATTTTATGAATAGCAAATAACCAAGGTCAATAAATTAGACTCCATGATGATTTGATGGTAGTGATTCACAGTCTCATCTTCACGAATATTAGAATTTGAGTTATTGGACTTTCTATCACTTGCCATAATTGAAGGCATATGTTTTAACGTGACATGGACACATGGAAAAATGTTTTCATGCTGCATAAGGTTCGCAAGGTAAAATATGGACAAACTGCAATTCCTCAATCCACATAACTCAATTCTTCCAAAAACATTTCATAGCACTTGCATGTGACTTCTCTATTCCTCTGTTCAAATTTAGAGTTCAAAACAACATTCATTTCACTTACTGTTCAACTGCTTGATATCGTTCTTAAATCAACATTGAGTTTCTCACATGTAAGGTAGATCAAGCTGAAGGAAATTTCTTCACTTTTTAGATTCATGGGCTATCAAGGTAAATTCAAATATGGACCGTAAGTAAATTTTAAAATGGAAAGGGATTTTCTTATATGAACATGATATAATTCATTGATTCATAGGGATGTTTATACTTGGTTTAAATTGTTTAATTATGTTTTTAATGTTTTAAATTTGGGATATATATTTTTAGTTTC